TGTAATTTCATACATGGATTGGATTTGGATTATTTTAATTATGGCAAAGAGATCTATCTGCCTAAAGAGAGGGATGCCTTCGTGGAGGACTTTTTAAGGAAAACTGGCTCGTATACACGTTACACGTGGGGTGTGGTGGTGTGGTGTATTTAAATATGGCAAAGCACACTAGGGCTATCTGCCTAAGGGAAGGGATGCCTTCGTGGAGGACTTTCTAAGGGAAACTGGCTCGTATACACGTTACACATGGGGAAAACCACGAAAACGCCCATGCAGCCAGCCCGTTCGCGGGATTCGAACCTCGGACCGAACTACCAGTGTTCAGCGACTTTACCGCTCGGCCGCTGGTGGGCCGTTACACGTGGGGAAAACCACGAAAACGCCCATGCAGCCAGCATATTCACAAAGCCTACAGACCATTTCCCTAAGGTCTGCTCTCATTGGATGAAACATCTGCTTGGCGGTCATATTTGGAATGGCGAGTTATCGCCTTGTAGGCGTGGTAATTAACGCCAAACAAACGGAAACAGCGTTTATTTCATTCGATATTTTTTTAGTTTATGAATGAAAGCTTGGAGGAATTGTGTGGAATATATTTTATATAACTTACTGATCTTATTAATAGTTTATTTGTATTTGAATTTAAACTTTTAAAAGTACGTAATTGTTTTACAAGAAAAAGGTGTTTACATGGAGATAGCATATGCACTTTTCCGTCATTTCTGTTAGAAAGAGCCTGTTGTGTAAATTTCCATAGCGCATTAATTTATACAAATAAAGGAATATTAAAAAATAAACCATATGAAAACATTCAGTAAACATTTAAGGCCGTCGGATACCTATTCATTTTTACCTAAATTATGAAAAGTAACTATAACTAAAATTATATTTTATTCCATTATGCGCTATTTCTATTGAAGCGCTTTTCGGGATCTTGGATCGTAATCTTGCTACTGGTACTTACTACAAAGAGTACAAACCAGTAAATAAAAATAAGAAAAATTAACAAAAATAGAGAAAATGAAGGCGTTTAATTTTTAACACCATACCCAAACAAATAATGACGAAATCATTCAATAATGTTAAAAAAAAAAAAAAAAATCCGTGTAGAGCAGAGTTTGTGAAAGATACGGTCGAGGATAGAACCGGTGATCTAGAAGTGTCAGAACTTTTTCCGCGCTGGTTACCTCTGAGCTGCGGTTTCGCCGGTGAGTAATGCACAATTTTTGGTACACCACGCTTAAATACAAACTGTAAAGGCGATGAATCAAAAGTCGCCAAGCACTAGGTTCTGTAACCCTACGTTTCCTGTTTCAACCAATCGGAGCAAACAGCAGTAGAAACGGTCTGTAGGCTTTGTGAATAAGCATGCAGCCAGCCCATTCGTGGGATTCGAACCTCGGACCGAACTACCAGTGTTCAGCGTCTTTGCCGCCCGCCCGCTGGTGGGCTTAATTTCATAAATATATGGTACTTACGTATTATCGCAACCAGGTTGGCGCGATTTGTAAGTTTGAGTAAAAAAGTATGAATAGAAAGAAAATGTACATTTATTAATTACAGATAATTTTTAATACAGTTTTTTTTATATTTTTTTGTTTTAAAAATAAAATAGCAATTAAACCCTTCCGGTTTCGAATTTGAATAAGTTGCAGAATTATTTTTTCGGCGGAAATCTTTTGGCTATTGCTTTTAGCACTGATTGAAAACCGTATTCGCTATAACCATGTACACGTCGACTTATTTTTACTTAAAATTGCACAAAATTGCACAAAAATGGCATTGCGCACACTCTTGACTTTATCCATGTACACTGCTATTTTCTCATAAATTACAAAAATTTGCACGAAAATGCAGGAAAATTTTGTGAATCTCCACATGCTCTTTTTACAAAACTACGTATAACACGTAGGGTTGCCGTAAGTAGGGTCGCCAAATTTGGCAATTTATGCGAATTTTGGCCTGGTTGCGTTAATACGTAAGTACCAAATATATTTATAATTAGACACCTGACAATTTTAATATATGATTATTTAAATCAAGCGTATTAAAAAAAGTGTTCTTAAAATCTGTGCTTATTGCTTTTAAATCGCTTATTTTATTTATCAATAACCTTCCAGATTTAATTTGAAAGTATCTTAGGCTTTACCGAATGGCAGCACGGTGATGCGTGGAAGATGAAAGTATTTTATTTCTACTCACGGCAACACGTTCTTTTCACAGAGCCAAGTTTGCTAATTAAAATTCAGAGACACATATCTTACATTTTTCCGAAAGGCAACTGTCTCGCGCGCTGGAGATAAAAATGTTTACATCGCCGCTTTTTAGTATAGCACAGACTGTCCTTTCACCATCGATGGGAAATATCCGATATAATTTGCATTTTGTAATCGATTACGTTCGTTTACGTTTTACGCAAAGTTGTGGTATGGTTGTATATAGAAAATCTTGCAGAAAGGAAAAAGCCTACCTTCAAATTAAATTTTTTTTTCTTGTTATATACGAGACTAGACGCAATGCAAATAAATTTGTATAATACTGTCAATAGTTTCCATTATTCGAATTAATTCATCGTGAGACCTTTATAAAAGTCTTAATAAACAGAAACTGGCTCATATTGCTGATATAATGATCAGAAGTATTGATATGCTTAATTTAGTTCTCTTGTTAATAAAAAACAGCAATTGTGCATGTAACGAGTCTAAAAGATAATGAAAATTTATATGTCTATATTTGTTGTTCTAAGTAAAAATTTTGCATGATTATAATACAGATATTGGAATCTAGTGCACAAATATGTACGATTTAAAATAATAATTACGTTTGGTAGAGCACGTGAGGAAAAGAAGCATTGAATTTTATTTATTAGAAAAATTCTTTATCTAAAACAACGCCCACTTTCTTATCGATGATACAAGTATGTTTATCGATGGTGAAGGACAGTCTGTGCCATCCGAAAAAGCTGCGAAATTGGATTCGGTATGTTGACGACACTTTCGCACTTTTTGAAGGTTATATAGAGGATTTATCCGAGATTCTACCTATTATGAATTCAAATGATCCAGCCATCCAATTCACTCTTGAAATTGAATCCAACAATTCCCTCCCCTTCTTTGATATTCTTATAATCCGGAATGAAACTGATTTTAGCACTACTGTGTACCATAGACCCTTTGCAGTTTGTTTACCACCCCATGCCACCCTGTTAAGCAAAAAATGGCTTCTTTTTACTATGATGTATTCCACGCACTTAAAGTTTGTTCCTCTGAATCTTTGCTTACCAATGAACTTAATTATTTGAGAGCAGTTGCGATTGACCGTGGATTTTCTCCCGTGATTATTGACAAAGCCGTTAAAAAATTTTCAGATTCCCATCAAAGAAGACATTCCACTGTTAGAAATAATATTAATGACCTTGTCGTGCTTCCATTTTATCCTTCTGTTAGCTATAAAATTGCACGGATTCTCCAGAAATTCAATTTTCAAGTCGGTTTCTCCCCTATTAATAAAATTCACCCTTTGATTCTAAAAGATTGCATTTCTGTCTTGAATTCTTGGGGAATTTATAGTATATCGTGTCAGTGTGGTTTAAGACATATTGGCCAAACAAAAAGAGCGTTGAAGTTTCGTATCAAGGAACATGAATCTTATGTCAGAAAAGGCGAAATTAACACGTCTTCAATAGCGTATCATAGTTGGACATTTAACCATAATTTTGACTTTGGGTCTGCAAAAATTATGAAAAAGGCTTCTTCCATAGGTGAATTGGATTTTCTTGAGGCTTTTCACATTCACAAAGATTTAGCAGGTTTAGTTAATGATTTGAAGTCCAATCCAGTCCTTCCTAATGCCTTTAAAATTCTACTATCTTAATTCAGTTATTTTTGCAGATAGATGGCATTACCTCCTCGCGTTTGGTACTACCAAAGTATATAAAAATCCGTTCAGTGGTTCCTTTCCATTATTCGAAGTTCAGATTTTGAGAGTGAAGGTGCATTTGCCCCTCGCTCCCTATTTTTAACTTCGCTAATTTTTCTTGTCCTTTGTGTTACATGTTTGATCAGATAGCCTGGCTCAGTAAAAGTAGGCGGCCAGTGTAACTGTGATTAAAAATCCGGTTGTAACCACGTGCAGTGCTAATAAGGACCACGTGTTTCTGAGACTCCTTCCCCTTTATTTTTCTTCTTTCTATGTATTTCTTTCTCCTGATGAGGAGGGACCTTTAGCTGCCCTCGAAATCGATTGAGTGTTTCAATATACTTACGCTAAATACAAGGTTGTTTTTATGATTTTGACTGCGAAATAATGTTTATTTCCAACAATGTTGCCACCGCTTGCTTTTAAATAGTTGAGTTTGTTAATCAAAAAATTCATTAACGTTTTACAAAAGTTTTACAAATTCGAAGTTTAGAATTCGGGTTTCTAAGTGTCGATATTCAGGTAGAGAACTACGTTATTAAGAATTTGACGCTTCAAGGTCCGGCGTTTTTTCATAATGCGAGAAACGTATTTACATTCGTGCAGGTTCTTCATTATTTAATTTCTTTAGAAAAGAATTCTAAATGTTCGTTTGAGTATATTTTTTCTGTAGAATATTTAGAATCTTAAAATGTAATACAAACTATTGAAAATACCATGAGATCTCATGAGTAGAACAAATTCAGCAAAATCAAATTTTATAAAACAAAATGCTATAATGGCTTTTAAGTGTATTCCACATATCTTTGCTATTCTGTAATTCGTAATGACTTGAATTTGAAAAATTAGGCATACTTGTTTATGAAATCGTCTGTTGCTTGAGGTTTAGCACGTCTTGGTCGTATAAATCGATATCAACCGAGTTAAATGGTGATCGATTAGAGAATAACAATCTGAACTGAAGAGAATAACAACCATTTTCAAATGACTGTCACTTGTTAGCTTGAAAGAGTGGTTCTTTTTCCGCTGTTTCAAATTTTTACTTTGTCTATTTATCATTTAATATATGCAGTGTTATTTAGATCAGCATGATTATGGAAGGCTTTTACAAAGTAATTCTCCGTGAGTTAAAAATTTTAGGCATCGAAGTTCCTAAATTAAAGAAATTTAAGGCTACTATTACTAATCGGGTAAGAATTACTTCATTTTATAACGTTCTTTAAAGTTAAATATTTCTTTAGGAAAGATGGATAAAAAGAGAATTTTTTCGCTTTTATTTTTGCAAAATCAAATAACTGATGCTTTGAAAATTTGAATTAAACATTTTTGTAAATTTATTGAATGTTCTGAAAAAGAATAATAAAATAAGAATAAATATTCTTGACTGAAAATTGTTTTGAAAGTTCAGATAAAAAGTTAATTTTCATCCTTAAAAGCACAAAGCACGTACTTAAACGACGCTAGTTTAACTTTTAGGCACTTCATTGTTAGCGGGACAGAATTCAGAAATGCATATATGTATGTACACATGTAGGTATGCATGTGCGTGTGTATGTAGATATGTGCATGTTTATACACACATATATATGTACGTACACTGTGTAAAACAAAATGGGACAGTTCTTTATAATTCCCGTTCTACTGGGCCGATTGACAAAATTCAACTTGCGCCTTTCATGTCTCGAAAGCGCTACTTAGGATATGTATTAGATATATATATAGCATTGTTCTATTATAGGTATTTTGACACAAAATCGGACTTTTTCTGAAATAACACACCATGTTTTTCCATATTTCGATTCTACGACTCAAATGACGCCAAATTACCAAGTTTTGTAAAATTCGCACGAGTAGCTTTTAAAAAATTACCTCTCAAAATTTTAGCTCCTCAGTGTTAATTGAGTTTGGTATATATTTGTTAACTTCTCTTTTTTTTATTAAACTTATTTGATTCTTCTTTTCACATTTCGAAATTTTTGTTCATTCCAAATAAAATTCACCCATTTTTTTATGACTTATTTTTAAAATTTGTATTTTGAAATAAATTTTTTTTAAAAATTTTTCAAACAAATTTTTTGAATTATAATCTATAAAAGTTTTACCATCATCTTAAAGTAGACGTATACCTGAAAAACATTACAGTTTTTAATTCAAAATTTCCGAAGATGTACTTGAATTTATATATTGGCGCGTTTTGAAATTTGGCATTTTTTTGAAAGCAATAAAACATCAAATGTGGTTTAGACACTTTCCTAAAATTATTTGGAAGTAGAAACGATGTGACTTTTATTCCCACTCATGCACAATGTAAAAAGTTGGGAACGAGGTATATAGAACAAAAGAATATGTATTGTTAGAATATGTAAACTGGTTTACATTTCGTTTATGGAGCCTTTCCTTCTTTACATAGACGTTCTTTGATAGAACTGTCCTTTTTTTTTTTTTGTTTCCGCAGTGTACATGTATACATGCATACATGAATATATAAATCCATACGCATGTAAACATTTCTCAATCCAGTCCCGATAACAAGAAAGTACCAGTCGTTAATATGAGACGAAATTACATTGGATTTGTTTTACTGGACTATAATTTAACTATTTATGAAACTTAGCTATTATAAATATTATATATATATTTCCTTTTTACGTGCTCTACCGATAGGCACTGCATGGAAGGGGAGGGATGCCCCGTGGAGGACTTTCTAAGGGAAACTGACTCGTATCCACGTTACACATAGGGGAAGAACCGCGAAAACGCCCATGCAGCCAGCGCATTCGCCGGGACTCTAACTCCAGACCGAGTTTCACTTTATAAAATAAAGTAAACAGTAAACATTTTCTGAGAATTCTTTCCTGTATGCCAAATTGATCGCCTACGCCCAAATTTCTGACGATCTTGGCATAGTTTCTTTACGTTGAGTATTTTCTAGTTTTGCCATTTCCAAATTTGAAAGATTTTCAGAAGAAATGGCAACCCTGCACATTGTTTTCTACAGCTCTCCGTTCGAACAATTACTGCGTCATTTTCTGAAAATGTTGAGAGTAATTTAGCACAGTTGTTTCCTTTTGCAGTTCTAGTAAGTGCTATGTGATTTCATTCTTGATATAGGAATTTTTCCTAATGTTTTTCTCTTTAGAGTTTTTTATCGTTACTTTAATATGATTTAAAATAAAAAAATTCGTTTCATGAATACAATTATAGATTTTAGTATTTTGACTTGAGGACAAAATATGCTATGTAAATAATAGTAATAAATTTAAAAAAAAATTTATGGTTATTATGACCTTTTTATTATTATGTATACCGACATGATTTACTGTAGTGTTTTATCATACATACTTTTATTCATTTTTTAATATACTGCAATATTGAAATTTTAATTTTGCAATTTTAATTAATATTTTTTTCGAGGATTGAACTTGTTTCACTTGTCTCTTTGAATATGGGTAATGTAGTATAGAAATTTATATTGTATTTAATTTTTCGCTCAAAATGTCAAGTGGAACGAAACATAAGGATAAAATCCTAGTATACGGTGCAGCTTTGGTATGATTTTGAAAAATTATCGCCAACATCAAAATGACCCGTTTACTAATCGTATATTGCCCACCAGCGTCCGAGCGGTAAAGTCGCTGAACACTGGTAGTTCGGTCCGAGTTTCGAATCCCGCGAACGGGCTGGCTGCATGGGCGTTTTCGTGGTTTTCCCCATGTGTAACGTGTATACGAATCAGTTTCCCTTAGAAAGTCCTTCACGAAAGCATCCGTCCCCTTAGGCAGATAGCCCTAGTATGTTTTGCCATAATTAAATACACCACACACACTAATCGTATATCTTCCGTTTACTGCTCATCATAAAGTCGCCAAGAGTAGCCAAATCCCGCGTGCACCGGATACTAGGATTAAACCAATATAAGTTCACTGCTCCTTGATATTTCTGGTTTTGAAATTTCATATTATTACCTCTTGATAAGTCGATTTAAGGCTTCAAGTTTGAATAATTTAACCACTTCTGGTTTTAAGAATAAAAAAAAAAAAAAAAAAAAAAAAAAAAAAAAATGTTTAAATTTTAATTTTCCTAAAAAAGGATTATAATTTTATTTTAAGCTTTTGATTCTTCTTGCTTCGTTCTAAATTTAATAGTTTTTCCAGGATTTTCAAGTTAAATGATTAATCTTCTATAAGCGGGTGAGCACGAAACTTGGCGAGAGTTTTTATTTGGCACGATTTCTATTTGGCTGTGGTCTCTTAACTGTATGTTTTCGTGTCGCAAAGGAGCTTTATTTTCGTGATTTTTTTTTAAAATTGAAATTTTAAATTCCTTGTGCACCACATAGTATTACACAAAGGCTTACAGAGGTAAGTAAGTAAAAAAACAAACAAATACAACAAGTACAACAACACAAAGTAAAATAAACTTACAAATTTACAGATGACACGTAAAAAGAGTATAAATTTACAAAAGAAAGAGAAAGCCATTTTATTTTGGACAAATATGTAAAGAGGGGGATGGAAATGTAATATTCACAGAGTTTAACTAGAAATGAGTTCTTTTCGCCCTTCCTTGAGCTTTGAACAATAGAACAACAAATGTTCCACATTTTGCACTCCCCCGATATTGCATGAATGCAAGTCTGTACTAGATAATCTAAATCTCTTCAGATATGAATTAAATTTACCACGTCCAGTTAGAAATAGAGTAATTTCGAAATTGCAGTAAAAGTGTTTATTATTCAATCTGTGAGAGTTTATTTTCGTGCTTACAATGCGTGCGAGTTTAGTGTAGCCAGAAGATTTTTTTTCTGAATTTAATTTTGAAATAGTGCGTTTATTTTTAACGGTTTTACTGTTTAATATTTGCAGAAGGTTGAGCTGTTGTTGGTATGAGAATGTTGGATTTGAGATGACGTGTAATTTACAATTTATAAAAGTTTTCATTTAATTTTATTGGGGGGTCAGTTAACCCTTTGTTGCATACAAATAATCTAGAGAAGTTAAACCAAAATGTTTGTATTTTTTCTACTTAAATAACCTTACTAATAATAAAAAATATAATTTATTCAAATTTCGTTTTAAATAATTGATACAGTTTGTTCCACTACAGTGGACAGCATGCTTAAATATACATGCATACAAATCTCTTTTCCGAACGCTTTACGGTCATTGCATTTGAAATCATTTCCTGCCTTGTTTGCAGTGACTATTGACCATCTTTTAAAAGGTAAATCTACAACCGACACACACATACTGATCCCTCAAAATACCTTCCATTTCGTCAATTTTGATTGAATTCATTTTGCTATGATTTTGTAACCTGCATCTATTGGATTCAAATGTCACAATGTTGCAGAAATTCCTTTGCCAAATGCAGTCTTAAACATTTCGAGTGGTGTTTTGGCTTTGATAAGCAAGTACCTTTGGGTTTCAATTCACTCTTTTCGGTAGATCTTTATCTACCCACTCCACAATTTTGTCAAACTGACATTGAAAATAAAATGTCTCAAATGACTCATTATGAATAAAAAATGCCAGTATAAGAAAATGTAAGCAATATTGCATAATGATTACTATGAGAAATTGTACTAACTTGGAAACAGAAGTAGCAGCGATTTTCCAAATAGCAATGCTTTACTTAGTGATGCTATACAGCCATCTATGATCGACAGTTGAAAGTTCTAATAATATAGAATGGAATCTGTTAAGGCATTTACAGAAGAAAAAGAAATATAAACTTTTGTCTACTAGTGTAGACATTATGTAACAAAGGGTTAATTAATTTTTCCAGTTTTGTTTCTTGCATGTGGTAACCGGAGGCATATTTCACAAGTGCACATCTGTGTAGCCACCGAGGGAGTGGCTCCTAGGATGGACCAATAAGAATCCAGTAATATTTCTGTCTGTCACTGACCTTTCGCGTGCTTTAATATTTAAGAAAGATGGTCGAAAATATTCTGCTACGCAATTTTCCATGTGATAAATATCTGAACCCAAATGCAATCTTTACATAAGACTAAGCGTATCAGAAAAATATTTACAACAATTATAAATGTAAATGGAAGTCAGCACTTTTTTATTGCAGTCTATATGAAAAAGATGTTTTATAATAATAACCAATGCAGAATTTTTATTCAAAGTGAACTTTACTCATTTGCATTCTTATACATTTAGTGCGTTAAATTTCATATTTAATAAATGTTCACTCTTAAATGTACTGTCTACACAAGAAATGCTCATCAAACAGAGTGAATTTATCGTATTCACAACGAGTATTATATTCAATTTATTCACATATAATTTTAAATGTTAACAATGGATATAATCAGATCATATGTATTCTGAATCTTACACTTATCAAAAGAATCAAATTAAATTATAATTAAATTAATAATATTAAAAATCAAAAGAATGCAAGCACTGAAATAAGAAAACACTAGATTCATTGTAACACTTTCAGTTTCAGTCATTCTCATCACAATTAAAAAAAATATACACTTGAATTCTCTTAATCCATAATATGCCGTGAACATCAATACTAAATTATGCGTGAAAAAACTCGCGAAGTGAAATGTCAGCGATTAATCAACTCAGAAATGAAAGCACTACGCGATTTTTACTACTGTTGCGGCCATATATTTATAACTGCGAAACAAATGCAAATTAAAACGCAAACAATATACGCTCACAAGCACGAAGATTTAGTGTCACAAGAGCAATAGCAGCTCATTGGTCCATTTTCGAAACCCCTCCCTCAGTGGCGACGCTGATGTGCACTTGTGAAATATGCTAACCAGGAGGTGTGGAATGTTTCAGGTGTTGAGCGAAAGTGGTTCAGTGTCTTGAATTCAACTCCGATACTAGCTTTTACATTTTAGTGGGTTTATGATGCATGCATTGTTAGCGAATTTGAATATATTTACTTGTTTAACCTCTTTTTGATGCGACTGAAGAGACATTTCGTATGTATTATTTTTGTAGTAACTTATTAGCCCAGAGGGGCAGATTTCCCAGAAGGACTATTGATTTCGTTTTGCCATTTTGTGTTGAATCACTATAAACGGCGAATCACTTTTTAAATTATTGGGTTAAACTTCGGATTATGGTAACTTGGCAATTTTTTGGCGAAAATTTGGCGACCAACCCTGCTACAGCAACCTGCTAGTTTTGTTTTGGACGCCATTTTGTTTTCACGAAGTAAAGGCATTTTTTTTTTTTTTTCTTTTTTTTACTCAACATTTTTTCCAACAATCTGCCAGCCAAATTACGCTTATACTTGAACTTTTATGGAACAAAAATGCTTAATCATGACGAAGATTAGGTGCAAAATTGGGAGAAAGTGCAGAATCGAAAACTGCTTCCCGCGTTTTTAAGAATTGCACATACACGGTATCCATGTACACGTCGATCTATTTTCACTTAAAAAAAACCCAGAATTCCACAAAAATGGCATTGCGCACACTCATGACTTTATCCATGTACACTACTTAAGTCGTAGCTAGTAACCTTTATCGGCCTACCAGCGGCCGAGCGGTAAAGTCGCTGAACACTGGTAGTTCGGTCCGAGGTTCGAATCCCGCGAACGGGCTGGCTGCATGGGCGTTTTCGTGTTTTTCCCCATGTGTAACGTGTATACGAGCCAGTTTCCCTTAGAAAGTCCTCCACGAAGGCATTCCTCCTCTTAGGTGAGATAGCCCTTGAGGCTTTGCCATAATCACACACACACACTTAAAGTAACCTTTATCGCCTTACCAAAATGTCGCCAAACTACCTGTTACCATATTCCAAATATTAGCCAATTGTTGCTAACAAATATTAGAGCCCTGTATTATATTTAAAGAAATTAAATAATAAAGAATCTGCATAAATGTATGTATGTATGTTTCTCGCATTGTGAAATAACTCTTTCCCACCAAAAACTGCTTTAAAATGAATTCTGAAGAGAATTTTTCGTGGCGTCTGTACGAACGTATGTACGTACGTATCTCGCATAACTCAAAAACCAGTAGCCTAAGAACGTTGAAATTTTGTATGTAAAACTACTATAACATGTAGATGTGCACCTCGTATTTTGGTTTCAATCGGCCGCGCCAAACGCATGTAAATATATTTAGAAATATATCTACTCTGTTACCCGGCTCAGTGATCTCAGTTTCTTTACTCTTATATGTATGTAAATTGTACATTTTTTGCTTTAAAAATGATTGAATTATGTTGTTTTTATCTTCTGGTTAAGGGTTATGCCTTTAGTAAATCTGTATGCAATATTTTTAGAATTATAACAATTTTAACGTTGTTTAAGTGCCGCTAAGCCTAATTTGATGGCGGCCATTGCTCTTGTTTACATTTGAAACAGCTGAGTAGCGGATTTGTTGCCAATCTAGAGAAACTTAGCTCCGCAACAACAAAGATAACGCATTCATTTATTATTGCCAATTAAATCATGCTTAATTCTTTCTGGAATTTTTTCGAGGAAATAAGTGTTTGAGATTTACTTCGTAATTTTTAATATAGATATTTTGAGTTTTTATGTATTTTTGCCTTCTCGCGAAGTGAGAACTGAATTAATTAAATGAGAAATACTCAATCGTCTGTGAAACACTGTTTTTTTGTTTTGTTTTGTTTGCTTAATTTCTTTTATACATAGTTCTAGCTTTATTATAGTATTTGAATAGAACATGTAGCAACGATTAGACAATTCTTTAAATGATATAAATTTTGTGCATTCTGAGTTATAATATGAACGAAATATAATACTGTTAAGTAAACCTAGCGCCAGAGTGTCGCTATGGTAAACAAAGTGAATTTTAAAGAATGCATTTATTCTATTGTGAGGTTTAATTCAATCTAATAAGTTTAAATGAAATGCAAGAAAAAATGCTTATAATTTAGTATTCCGTACAATTAGATTAGGTACACATTAGATTTTTTTATTAACAAACTCTCTCTATATAAAGAATACCTGTGTGATTGTGCGTTTTTTTGCGGTATTGATTTCGGATGAATTTTTTGTCACATTTAATCGACTAAATTTGAATATAGGAAAAATATTGGATGGAATTTGAGCCTTTACGACCATTTGATTAGAAAGACGTAAATCATTCAAACTGCATGCCATTGTTTCTGATATAATGAGAGAGAATTAGGTTATTTTTCTATCGAACTTTTTTATGTGTGTTCCCTATCACATCAGACGGAAAAATGTATGACTGTGAATGGTATTTTTTGCATCATAATTAGAGAAGGATTACAGCGATATCGTTCCCTCTCTGTTGTTAGATGCATTACTCTCAATATAACTTAACTGACATCAGGTACTTCCGCTAGTAATCTGATAAAGTGAATAATTCTAATTATTATAAACTCAATACAGTAAGACCCCGCTTAACGCGGGGGATACGTTCCATCAAAGTAGAGCGTAATGCGAAACAGCACTAAACGAGGCTATCTTTACATGTAAATATTGGGGTTAGGGGAAGATGGCTAGGAAATTGGTTAGGTATTAATTTAAAAAGTATGTTTTTTTTAATAAAAATAAAACCAAACATTTATTTCTTAAAGCCCAAATTAATACCACATTATTATTTCTTGCAAAAATAAAAACAAAATATAACAAATAACAAAACGAATATTCTTAAAAAAACAAATAAAATTCTAAGTCAGTCATATTTATTTAGCCTTCCGCGTTTTCAGTGTTCTGCCTTTTTGTGACAAAAGCATCTAATGTTGTTTGCCTTTTTTCTTTTGCGTTGTTCTCTTAAAAGTTCTTCATAAACGGATAGAGCATCTCTAACACCCACGCCTTACTTTTGAGCTCCTGTCAAAATTCGGATCATTTTCAATGAATTGATCCATTATTTCAGTTATGGTAGACAAACTCCTTTTTACAAACGCCATCGAAAGTTCTTTTTGCTCTTCTTCTGAATCACTGCTGTCAACATTTTTGTTTTCTTCTTTTTCAGTTAATTCCTTGAGCTCGTCATTAGAAAGACTAGCCGCTGCTTCTTGAATTATTTCTTCGAACATCTTCCACATTTACCCCTTCAAAATATTGTCTGTACAATACCGCACCAAACAAGAAATACAAGAGTACACTCTTTCGGATATGTATTTGAAACCTATCGCTGCATAATATTTCGGGGAATCCCCGTATGCGGCGAGCGATTTCGTGGAATCCCCGGGTTGAAATAAAAGAGCGCTAAACCGAAACAGCGCTAAACGAAACAGCGTTAAGTGGGGTCTTACTGTAATATTAATTACTGTAAATTTCTCTGGTAAATTTAAAGTTTATTTACATAAGATATGAATAAAACTTTTCAATGCGTTATACGGGAGTTGTTTTATTTCAGGAGAAACCTGCACACAAAAACGAGAAAAAGATTTTTGGAGTAAAACTTGTTGACCAAGAAGCTGTTGCAGAATCGGAACATTACCTTCCAAGGTAAATCTGTATTTTATCATTTTTATGTTCATTACAGTTCATTTCGTGTTTTGACTGTAATGCATTTTTCATTATTTATAAAACCGGATCTTCTCCGTTAAAAGACAACGCGGGCCAAAGAGTTTTATACGGGAAATTTGCGCCAATTGAATACGTACAGAAAGAAAACACATTTTGATCATCAGATGACTTGATATGGTTAAAGTTTTCACTAAACATCAGAAATACCTCATAGTTCGTTTTATTTCATTAAACAAAGAACTACAATAGAATTAGGTTCTTTAAAAACTTTTTATTGATAACATAGTAGAGTCCCGCATAATGTGGATTGAGAGACTGTTGAGTTTCCGAAAATCGAGTTTTTACAGACTAAGGGGTTGGTCTTTCAGAACTCTTTTAATATTTAATTGTAAATTACCTTCGAAATTTATAGAACAATAATGGACACGGAAAAATTCAGTATATATTCAAAATTAATGTTGTCTTTTTATGTCAAGTATAGTCACAATTGGAGTTATATAAAAAGAACAAATACCCTAAGAATTGAGTAAAAAATTATATACAAAAATGAAGACAAATTATTGGTTGTGTTCATACATTTTCCCGCCCGTCAGCAAATTTTTATGTTTTCACCTTTGCATGTGTCGGGAGCCACTCATTTAACACTGATGATCAAAATTTAAAGTAGCAAAAAGAATAAAATCTTAGGAAATTGTTTTATTTGAACGAAATTTGGCACATGTATGCTTCATACCATGAAAAATCAGCATAACAATGCAAAAGTATAAAAAGGCCAAAATTGCAGAAAAAGAAGATAGAAATGCATTCTCCCCACACAACGCGTAGCTTTTACATGAATTCTTATTCTTTGATGAAGTTGTTAAAAATATTTCTGACAGTTATTATTATTCTTGTTATTTGCCCGAGTGAATTTTAAGTTTTGGTAGGTCTTGCGGATGTGTATCCAAAGAGAGCCTTTTTTGTATATGTATCAAGTCCTGAATCAGCTAAACTCTGTGGTTCAGGTTTGCTTTCCATGATATTGGTTTGGTTAATTACGGCAAAGCTTCGAGAACTATGTACCTAAGAGGAGGGATGCCTTCGTGGAGGACTTTCTGAAGGAAACTGGCTCGTATACACATTAAACACGGGGAAACCACGAGAAGGCCCATGCAGCTGGTTTGCGGGGTTCGAACCACGGACCGAACTGGTAGTGTTCAGCGACTAGACCGCTAAGGCGCAGATGGGCCGTATTTCAGTGAAGGAAAAGGCCCACCAGCGGCCGAGCGGTAAAGTCGCTGAACATTGGTAGTTCGGTCCGAGGTTCGAATCCCGCGAACGGGCTGGCTGCATGGGCATTTTCGTGGTTTTCCCCATGTGTAATGTGTATACGAGCCAGTTTGCCTTAGAAAGTCCTCCACGAAGGCATCGCTCCCCTTAGGCAGATAGCCCTCGTGTGCTTTGCCATAATTAAATACACCAACACCATCAGTGAAGCAAAGTGGTGCCTATTCAGAGAAGGTAACACATAGGCAACCGACCTCTTCCACCGCCGAGATCACACACCTAGACGAATTACCAGTTTTTGTGGCTTTAACCACTCATCTACTAGTTGCACTTTCCCAATACGTACAAGAATATACACTCATGTCCAAAATTATCTTTACATACCCAAAAATGATGATATTCAATGAAATATCGAATCAATGTGATCCGTATTTGCAGGGAATGTGTGAAAACCAAGCCTAATTAGCATTATCCAATCAAAAGTAATCAAACGGTTTGTGATATGCAAATCTAGGCGTTACGTCATCCAAGGGTGAATCAAGCGCTTTGCGCAAACTGAATATTTGAGTGAATTTCTGCAACATAGCGTTTGATTTCAGTGTGTAGGGACTCAAAAGCGGTTTGTTATGGCTTCGAAGTATCATTTGGAAGAATCTGTAAAGTGGCGAATTATCGGCCGTTTAGAAGCAGGGCAGTCAATCATGGAAACAGCCACATGTCTGAATATTTCAAGACAGACAGTCTCTAAGCTATGGAAACAGTTTCAAAATGATGGAAGTGTTGTAACGAGGCCTGGACAAGGTCGGAAAGGAATGACAACTGCTTCTGAAGATCGGTATCTGGCATTAACTGCCCGTCGTAACAGAAAGGCTACTGCTCGCCAGTTAAGTTCAGAGCTTGCAGCCGCCACTGGAAATGTTGCATCACGGCAAACAATATACAGAAGACTTAATGAAAAAGGCCTTTATGCCAGAAAGCCAAGGGTATGTGTTTTTACTGTCTTCACAGAAAAAGAGGGATCGCTTTAATTGGTGTAAAGAACATCAAAACTGGACTGAACATCAATGGTCCCATGTTCTCTTTACTGATGAGTCGCGGTTTAGTTTAACTGGTGATTCTAAACGTGTTTACATCTGGAGGGAGTCAGGAACACGAAATGATCCCTCGAACATTGTGGAACGTGACCGTTTCGATAGTGGAGGTGTGATGGTATGGGGTGGAATAATGATCGATGGACGTACTTCCTACATGTGTTCAGCAGCGGATCTGTGACAGGCCAGATATATCGGGATGAGGGCTTTTGATCCTTATGTAAGACTTTTCAGGGGTGCATATGGACCTGACTTTTTATTTATGGATGATAATGCCCGTCCACATCGAGCAAACCTCGTTGATGAATTCCTTGAAAGTGAACATGTCATGACGTGATGACCACGCATGCGCAGTTTAGCCGAACGGCCTGCAACGCCTCTCTCTCATGAAACTGACTAGAGAAGAGTAGTTAGTAGGTAGTAGCGAAGTAACGAAGGAAACGTGTTGTATGTCAGTACGAAGTTATACTTGTGTGTTAATCGTTTGTACTTATTATTTTTATTTGTGTGTTAATAAAGTGTTGTGCCGTTAAAATGGCTGTTTTATGCAACTCACACAACACGATACGTCTACGGTAGGAAGTATATACATATCCAGAAACTACACGCCCAAGAAAAAGAAGGATATGACAGTGGTGTCAGAACAGGAGGATATGTCATTCTGCAAAGTTCACGGATAAATGCGTAAGTGAGTCTTCAGAAAGGTAAGAAATTTGTTCAATTTATTTTGTGGTAAAGTGGAATTCAAGGTTACAAAAATGGCTGAAGAGCTAACGAAATCTAAGAAAGAACGGAAAGTTATGCGTTCAGCCATTACTAAAGTAACAAATGCTATTGAATCATTAATTGCAGCCGGTAACCTTGAAGACCTTGAAGAATCACTGGAAAGTTTAAAAGTAAAAGCTATTTCTTTGAGAAGCGTTAGACGAAAAAATTAAAACTTTGACTGATGTTAATGACATTGAAACCGAAATCGAAAGTGCCTTGGAATACGAAGAAAAAATTTCGAAATGGAGCTTTAGAGGCACAAAATTATTATTGAAAGAAAAAAGAAATAGCAATAATTCGCTAGTTTCTAATGGTTCTTCTAATGATAGTAACAATTTATCTATTTCTGGGTGTCGATAAAAGTTCTGATTATAATGTTAAATTGCCGAAGATTATGATTGATAAATTTTATGGGAATGCTGAAATGTGGCAGACATTTTACAATTCTTTTGACACGGCAATAAATCAAAACGTAAAACTATCTAAAGTAGATAAGTTTAATTACTTGCTTAGCCTGTTAGGCGGTGCAGCTTTAAAAACAATAGAAGGCTTTTCTTTATCTCCAGAAAACTACGACGAAGCTTTTAAAATTCTCAAAGAGAGGTATGGTCGAAAAGATCTCCTTATTAATTCTTACATGCATAAACTTTTAAATTTACGGCTTTACGGCCTGTCCGAAGTTCTAATGACATTAATTCTTTGAGGGAATTATATGATACCTGCAACGTACAAGTAAGGTCACTAAATTCGATAGGGGTCAAGACCGAATCGTATGGAAAGTTTACTATACCCTTTGTTAATGAAATGCATACCTCAGGATATAACGCTTGATTTTGCTCGTCAAAACGCAGATGAGGAAACTTTTAATGTCGACAACCTCATGAAATTTCTAAAACGGGAAATTGAAAGTCGCGAACGAACTTCATTAAATTATTTATTTTATTCTAAGAGTCACGCTAATTCTCTTGGAAAGGCATTCACAACCAAATGAAAAGCGAAACAACTTCCACACTCGGAATTCATTCAACGCCAACAAATTTGGCGCCAGCTATTCCCCTAATGTAAGCAAAATTGCAGTTGTTCGAACTTTCCCTTGCTTATTTTGCGAAAGCGAAAATCATGCTTTCGGAAAAATGCGTTATGTCTCCGGAAGAAAGGAAAAAGAGTTTAAAAGGGCTTCTAATCTAATCGGTGCTTTCTTTGTTTCGAAAGGAATTGTAGAACAAAAAATTGCCCTTCTCAATTAAAATGTTCAAAATGTAATTCTAAGTATCATAATATATTGTTGCATGAAGATAAGGAAAGGGTTGCTAAAGAAGAAATTAAGAATAATTCTAACGCCGTAACTGCAAAGATTTCTTCTAAATATTTTACTGCGAATCAAGAGGTTAAAGAATTAATAGATGACTTGCCAACCGTTAAACTTATATGTGATGGTAAATTAATTAATGCAGTAGCAGATACAGGCACGCAATTAACCGTTGTCAAGACCGACATTGTACCAGAAAAATACCGTACGCCACATGGAAGTGTTATCCTCACGTCAGCTTTCGGGCAAGCTTTAAAAGCTCCTCTCATTAACCTACCTTTAGTAATATGTTTTGAAAATGATAAATTTATGTCACCTATTTTTATAACATGTGCAATGGTGGATAAGTTATGTAATGATGATTACTCTTGTCGTTAAGTGCTTTTAATGAGTTAAGGGGAGATGATAAAAGAAAGTTTAATTTTGAATGTAAAAATGTAAACATTGCTACTGATAGTTTCGGTGAAATGCCTTTTCATGAAACTGAAAATTTTGACGAAATACTTAACCATGATAGGGAAAACCTAATTAATGAAAAATGTAAT